TAACAGTTTCTTCCCAGGCCTGCCTGGTGTATCAGAAAGCTCCAGAAAGCTGCTGCCTGCATCCTCACTAAAACCAAGGATGTGGAGCACATCAGCTCAGTTCTAAAGCCATTATACTTTCTCTCATTGTCTCAGACAATATAAATCACTGAAGACAAATAAAATAAAGATAACGCAGCATAGATAATAACATAAAAGTAGTTGAAACATAAAAAAACAGGTTTCTAGCTGCTTCTTTAAATAACGAATCCTCAAGAGAGCACAAAGATTAATGTTCTTAAAGATACTTTGGCTGTTTATGTAATTTTTTTGTAACCCAAAATAAATTTTCACAGTTCATGTTTTCGAATTTTGATTTTCAAATATATTTTTTGCTAATTCATTATTCAGAGGTCTTTATTTCACACTGAGTTTCATTTTTCACTTTAAGCCAGAGACCAATAGAAATGCAAAGTAATATGAAAAAAAAACCTGAGAAGATAGCAAATATTCTTTCTTCCCCAAAATAGGCCTCTTTTGCTTAAAAGATGTTCCTAAGTTTAATTTCTGAAATGAAAATAAAAAAAAATATATATATGATATTTTAGATTTCTTATTAAAAAAATGTGTTCTTAGCCTGCAAATATGGAGAAGAATTCTCTTCTTACTGTTACAGCTGTCAAGGCAAGATAAAATGGACGCCTGAATAATCATCTCTTAAACAGCTTATGGCACTAAAGTTAGAAGCTTATAGATAATAGTTAGCTGAAAGACGGAGCTTTTGATTAATCCTTGAGAATGACAGTATAGTGACATCGCAGAATAAAAAATGATGCCAGCATCCGTGTTGCATCCATCCCCACTGCAATTAGCTGTTTTTTGTTTTTTTTTTGTGCAGCACTTTTGTGATTTTGCCGTGCTACTAAAATATGCTGTGTAAACAAAGTTACCTTGGCCTCGGTTCTATATAACTTTCCTCTTCTATGAACAGGGTCTCTGATCCAGCTGCCGTCCAGTAGCGAACGGGGCATGCTCAGCAAGGTACGCCTGGGCTCCCTTTCACTGAGGAAGGAGGGAGAGAGGCAGTGTTTCCTGTTCACCAAACACTTCCTCATCTGCACTCGAACCTCTGGAGGGAAGCTTCACTTGCTGAAGGTACATAATAGAATTTGTCAAACTTCATCACTTTAATGCAGAATCCAAGCTCAGATAGGTAGTCTGTGATACCGGGCATTTGCATGGTGGGCCGCTCCTATTTCAGCGTGTGAGGGCTGGTCCTTCATAAATCATACCGGTCCCAACACTTACTCTCTGGTCGCAGCATCTACCTCTGGCAGTAAATAACTGAAGGAGCTCAAGAAGTAATACAATGTTAACTCCCTAGATGATGCATGCAGCATATATAACCCTTCCGTGTCATGCACATCCTTGTGACGGTTGGCATATGGTGTAATTTTCTATTTCTTCAAACTGTCAAATCCTTGCAACAAAGTAAATAATAATACAACTACTGTAAAATGCTTTCTTTTAACCAAACTAAGGTGTTCCGCTTATATTTGGCGAATTTATGTTCAAATATTTTGCAAAAATATGTGGCGGTACATGATGGGGTTTGCATCTGTTTACATTATTCTAATTCATTGCCCACATGCCACCTAGACTTGCAGTGAATGCTAACACACTGCTGAAAAGTGGGCCGGCGTAGATGGAAAAATGCCAGGGGCCTAATATCGTTCCCCGTCCGAGCCTAGTAGAATCCACCCACATTTCAGCTTTACCATAAAAAAAAAAACAAACATAATTTTTCTTGAAAGCAAAAAAAAAAAAAAGTGGAACCATTATTTTCTAGTCATTTATATGCTTAAAATTTCCGTAGATCCAAAAAAGAGCGGCCGTGCCGCAGCGGTTAGCGCACACGACCCATGTACGGAGGCCTTAGTCCTCGACGCAGCTGACCCGGGTTCGAATCCGCCCTGTGGTCCTTTGCCGCATGTCTCTCCCCCTCTCTCACACCCCCTTTCCTCTGAGCCCACTGTTGGAAAAAAGAGAAAAAAACACGAGCCATGAGTGCCGTAACCCCCCACCCCCCCAAAAAAAGAGCACTTTAATTGGTTTTAAATGATTTACTATAAGATTGGATTGGGGTATACAGAAGTATCAAGACACAAAGCACAGATATTTCTTCACTTAAGTAGACATTTTGGCTTTCTATGCTTTACTGCAGTAATTATTTGTTAAGACAAATTTTCTACTACTTACATTTTTTTGCAATCATCTCCACTTTCTACTCCTTACACTTTAAAAATGAGCTCATTAGTTTTGTTTTATTTGAGCTCATTTTCTTTATGGCCTGTTGGTATTTCAAAAAAAGCAATCGAGATTATTGGTTTTATCCAGACAATTAATTTCTTTGTGTTGTTGGACCAAGTTGTTTTTGCTCTGAACACACCGAGTCTGACTTTCCATCCCATCTTATAGAAAATTATGTCAGACAAGCCCATTGAAAGTGTATAGGGATCAACACCTGACTGGATTATCTGTCAAGGGGCTGCGTAGCTCTAACTGAGATAGACCCCAGGACTATTTTAGTCGGACTAAACAGCTTCTGTCAGTGAGCCCCAGGGTAGCTGTGGCTACAATGTAGCTTGCCACCATCAGTGTGTGCGTGTGTGTGTGAATGGGTGAATGAATGTAGTGTAAAGCGCCTTGGTCAAGTCTCCTAACTTGAATAAAGGCGCTATATAAGTACATGCCATTTACCATTCAATGTGTTTGCAAGGTAACACACATCTGCTGTGGGGGAAAATACAAAATAAAATCTGTCAATCGCACAGGAAGACAGTCAGCTTTCGCACAGCGCATATCTAGCAGTAAACTTCACAGGTCTCTGTGAGAATCACCTCTCACTACCTTTTTCTTTAAACATAGTTCCCATAATATTTTTAATGTATACAAATTCTCTATCTTTTTAATTTTAAAGATGCTAAACAGACTCATTAAGTGTGGCTTTTTTAATAACATTTTACAATCTCAAATGTAGGAAATAGTTTTGATTTGTGTGGCAGGGAGACTGAAGTAAAAAGAAAATCTGCACAGATCAGCTCGCCTTGCGTAGTCTGAGCATTTCTATACACACTCAGTGTGACACAATAACTTTGTTAAACTTCCCCTCCTCTGACACAATATTTATCAGACAGCAGATATTCTGATAATGTCCATTTATCTTCCAAGCTTAAATGTACTAACATTTGCAAAACTATCATTTAATTAGAAAGAAGAAGAAATGTAAATTCCATTATTGTCCCACAATGGGAAAATTTACTCTCTGCATTATGACACAAAACATGCATTCTGGCAGAGTCAGACAGCACAATTTCCTCTATACGGGCCAATGGCTAATGGCTCTCTTCAAGTAAAGTATAAAGACTTTTGAGGTAGTGGCAGGAAAAGTTTTCAGTGTTTCTACTTGTTACTATGAAAGAAAAATAGAGAGCTTTGCTTAGTTGTTTCTCTCTAAAACCGGCTTAGATTTTAAAAGTAAAAAACACATATGTTTTTTCCCTTAACAGCAGGGAGGAACGCTGTCCCTTATTGAGTGCACTCTGATTGAGGAACTGGATGCCAGCGATGAAGACTGTGAGTAGCCCACTGCCATTTTTACTTGTTTCTAATATTCTGTTCAATTCAATTCATTTTATTGCACATGGCAACTTACGATGGACTATAAGAGCCAGGCTAGAGATTTATTTATTTTGAGAATAAAGTCATAACATTACTAGAATAAGTCATAACATTACTAGAATAAAGTCATCATACAACAACCCGTTTCAGAAAGAAAGCTTCGAGCTCTGACCAGCAGATGACGGTCGATCAGCTCCACCAATCAGCAACCTGAGTCCACTTTGACCTTCTGCCCAATTTGATGCTACTGCTAAAAGATTTCCTTATTTATCAAACCAGAGCCAAAGTTTAACTTCACATAATGCTCCACATTCCTCATTTTAGGGAAGAAAATGCTTCTTGTAGGAGTTGTCATAAAATACAACTTTTTTTCGTAATTTTATGACTATTCTCATAATTTTACCACTTTATTATTTTAATTTTACTACTTTATCCTTGTAATTTTATGACTTTATTATCACAAGGTTATTACTTTAATCTCGTAATTTTACCACTTTATTCTCCTAATGTTACGACTTCATTCTCATAATTTTACGACTTTATTCTCATAATTTTACAACTTTATTCTCATAATGTTACGAATTTAGTGTCATAAGGTTATGACCTTATTCTCGTAATTTTACGACTTTATTCTCGTAATTTTACGACTTTATTATCACAAGGTTATTACATTATTCTCGTAATTTTACCACTTTATTCTCGTAATGTTACGACTTCATTCTCATAATTTTACAGCTTTATTCTCATAATGTTACGACTTTAGTCTCATAAGGTTATGACCTTATTCTCGTAATTTTACGACTTTATCCTCGTAATTTTACGACTTTATTATCACAAGGTTATTACTTTATTCTCGTAATTTTACCACTTTATTCTCGTAATGTTACGACTTTAGTCTCATAAGGTTATGAACTTATTCTCGTAATGTTACGACTTCATTCTCATAATTTAAGACTTTATTATCACAAGGTTGTTACTTTATTCTCGTAATTTTACCACTTTATTCTCGTAATTTTACGACTTCATTCTCATAATTTTACAACTTTATTCTCATAATGTTACGACTTTGGTCTCATAAGGTTATGACCTTATTCTCATAATTTTACGACTTTATTCTTGTAATTTTACGACTCTATTGTTGTAATGTTACGACTTTATGCTCGTAATGTTACGACTTTATTCTCATAATTTTAAAACTTTATTCTCATAATGTTACGACTTTATTCTCATAAGGTTATGACTTTATTCTCATAATTTTACGACTTTATTCTAGTAATTTTACGACTTTATTCTCATAATTTTACAACTTTATTGTCATAATGTTACGGTTTTATTCTCATAAGGTTATGACTTTATTCTCGTAATGTTACAACTTTATTCTTGTAATTTTACGACTTAATTCTTGTAATGTTACGACCTTATTCTTGTAATGTTACGACTTTATTCTTGTAATGTTACGACTTTATTCTCGTACTTTTAGGACTTTATTCTAGTAATTTTATGACTTTATTCATATAATGTAGCTCAGTCTTGGTAAGAAATGATTAAGCAAGTGGGCTCTGATCTAGTTAGAGCACATCCAGTTAGTCACTGAAGAAGCTGAGACCATAGCTATCTCTAGGAGAGAAACAGGACTAATCACTGAAAAACAGGGCCAACTCTAGTTATGAGGTGTTAATGGGTCACACTGTTTCTGGTTCTGCTGGAGGTTCTGCTGGAGGTGTCTTTTTCCTCTCCACTGTCGCTACAAGCATGCTTAATGTGGGGGATTGCCTTTAAGTCAATGTTCTGATGCAACAAACAATTTTTCCTTAGACAGAAAACTTTGAATCAATTTGACTGTATTATCTGGTGAACTGTAAAGTGCCTTGAGTTGACGTGTGTTGTGAATTGGCGCTATAGAAATAAATTGAACTGAATGGCCGGAGCCCATCTGATATTTCCCTTAAGAACAGCTTCAGTTTTTTGCCAAGAGAACTTTGAAGGGACGATGTGTTACAAAAAGAAATAAAAAACCTTTTAATCTGGGAAGTAAATTTGTACTGTTGGGATTGTTTTGACATGTTTCAGTAAATGCAGCAAATGAAACAGAATGAACTTTTCCTGTTGGATTTTCAGACAACGCCGCTGGTCAAGGCTTCAGTCACCTGGAGTTTAAAATTGTGGTGGAGCCTCCTGATGGTCAGAGCTTCTCTGTGGTTCTTCTGGCTCCTTCCCGTCAGGAGAAAGCTGCATGGACCAGCGACATCAGCCAGGTACCCGAGGGACTATTTGTTACCGTGACAACCTTTAGCCAGCCTTCTGTAAGAAATTCTCATCCTTGGCTTTGTTGTATATATTTTTTTTCTCTTCAGTGCATTGATAACATTCGCTGTAACGGCCTGATGACCAGCGTGTTTGAGGAAAACTCTAAAGTTTCTGTGCCGCACATGATCAAGTAAGAAAATGATTTCATTGTAAACATCCTAAAGGAGAAGGCTACAGGTTTAACACCTTCCAGCCATCTACTAGTCTATACTCTCATTCCAACCTTTGTTTGTATTGTTTGCCAGTTGCTTACCAGGTCAACCGATTAGGTAACATTGAAACTACCTTACCAGAAGGAAAATCTGCAACCTCTGTCTGCCCTCGAAACCGTCTGTTCTTCATAGGTGCATGTTCACATTATGTGATTATACCGAAAAGGACCGAAAAAAAACCCTTTGACCATGATAAAATAAAGTTATATACAACTAGTGTCAGTCTTTGTAGTGTTTATATCAGGCTTCCCCAAAGTCGGTCCTGAAAGGGTCGCTGTCCTGCAGGTTTTAGAGGTTTCCCTGCTCCAGCACAGCTGATTCACAGTGATAGTTGATTAACAGGCTTTTGCTGAACTGCAATCATCGGAATCAGCTGTGCTAAAGCAGAGAAACCTCTAAAACCTGCAGGATAGCGGCCCTCAAGAACCGACTTTGGGGATGCCTAGTTGATATAGTCCTTTTAGAGCCTAAATAGAATTTTAGCACTAGCCGCATTGAGCAGATATAAACAGACTTGGCGCCATCTTCTGGCAGAACTACAGAACTATCAGAAAGCCACATGAAAAACAATTTAGGCCAGAGGTCACGGATTAGCAGGGAAAAATAACTTTGCTTATATTTGATAAACATGGTGCTGGACTGGTGAGACAAAAGAGCGAAACAAAAAGCACACTTACTACGCCCTGGTTGCCTTCCATGTTGCTCTCCATTGTTTACTTTCCTGATTTCTGACATCATCAACTCTAACCCAGCATGATAGCATCATCAGACAAGTAGCATAGGGGGGACAGAGGCCACGCAGCTCATCAGCTGAGTTCACCGAACCCTGCTTCTTTTGCTAATGTGAAGGTAGCCAAATGCAGATTGTTAAAAGGTCGACCCATGTTTGAAAATCCTTGATAACCCGCTAATTTCGGTGGGAAAGAGGCATTACAAATGCAAACATGGAAACGGTATCAAGATTAGAACTAATCAATCTATTTATAAAATTTTTTGTTTGTAGACTGTAGAGGCTAAGGTTAGCATTGCTATCCCAGGCATCAGTAAGGAGTTTACTCACACGTCTATTAATTCAGCAGCTCATCTGAACGCCTCGGCAGCTTTAGCTTCCTCTGCAGTTTAACTCTCAGACTGTTTCACTCTGATCCCTCCTGGAATTAAATATTTTTTTATCACACTGGGTTTTGCACTTTTCATCAATATTTGCTGGGAGATGCTAACAGGCTTAGCCACTGTAGGCTACTTTCTTGTTTACCCCCCTGAACACATACGCAGTATCGTACCTCCTTTGTTATTGTATGCATAGGACTTTATTTATTAACAAACTAAAGTAAATAAAAGCTTAAAACACAAGAGCAACAACTAATACACCAGAGGGTACTCTTTCAGAAAAAAAGTTATAGAACTGTCATAGAAATTGTCATATAACGTGACCATGCACCTTGAAGTCAGCACCAATGTTTGAAAGATTAACCAATGTTCATCCTTGTTTTACTTATATATGATCTGATGCTGCAATTCCATAACATGCACATACTTAGGATATTTCTCCTTCTCAAATAAGCTGAAATTAATCTTTTTGGATAGATCTAAGATTGTAAGATTGAGCCTTAATGAAACTGATGTTTTGCACTGCAAAAATGATCTTGGAATAAGTTAAAATTTCTTGAATATAGTGTATTTACCCTGAATTTGAGTAGGTAAATAAGATGATCTGCCTATGGAATGAGTATTTTTAGTCTTAAAATAAGATAATTAGATAATATGCACTTAAAATAGGAAAATGTCAATATTTTTTCTTATTTAAAATTTGAATAGTCTTCTTCCATTGGCAAAGACTCTCTCTTACCTCCTCAGTTCAAGACAAAATGCACATATTTTAAGAAGAAATTAGTTACTTATATTTAATTTATTTCCAGTGTGTCCAAAGTGAGGAAAAAGAAAACAAAGGCTATGATTTATGTCTTGTTTAACCAGCTACAGATCAAAGAAAAGAACAGCATCAGTTAATAAACCCACATCTCCAACATGTTAATGTGGGTAACAAAACCCAAACAAAACTACATAAAGCAAAGCGCAACTACATTAAGNGTGAATGGGTGAATGAATGTAGTGTAAAGCGCCTTGGTCAAGTCTCCTAACTTGAATAAAGGCGCTATATAAGTACATGCCATTTACCATTCAATGTGTTTGCAAGGTAACACACATCTGCTGTGGGGGAAAATACAAAATAAAATCTGTCAATCGCACAGGAAGACAGTCAGCTTTCGCACAGCGCATATCTAGCAGTAAACTTCACAGGTCTCTGTGAGAATCACCTCTCACTACCTTTTTCTTTAAACATAGTTCCCATAATATTTTTAATGTATACAAATTCTCTATCTTTTTAATTTTAAAGATGCTAAACAGACTCATTAAGTGTGGCTTTTTTAATAACATTTTACAATCTCAAATGTAGGAAATAGTTTTGATTTGTGTGGCAGGGAGACTGAAGTAAAAAGAAAATCTGCACAGATCAGCTCGCCTTGCGTAGTCTGAGCATTTCTATACACACTCAGTGTGACACAATAACTTTGTTAAACTTCCCCTCCTCTGACACAATATTTATCAGACAGCAGATATTCTGATAATGTCCATTTATCTTCCAAGCTTAAATGTACTAACATTTGCAAAACTATCATTTAATTAGAAAGAAGAAGAAATGTAAATTCCATTATTGTCCCACAATGGGAAAATTTACTCTCTGCATTATGACACAAAACATGCATTCTGGCAGAGTCAGACAGCACAATTTCCTCTATACGGGCCAATGGCTAATGGCTCTCTTCAAGTAAAGTATAAAGACTTTTGAGGTAGTGGCAGGAAAAGTTTTCAGTGTTTCTACTTGTTACTATGAAAGAAAAATAGAGAGCTTTGCTTAGTTGTTTCTCTCTAAAACCGGCTTAGATTTTAAAAGTAAAAAACACATATGTTTTTTCCCTTAACAGCAGGGAGGAACGCTGTCCCTTATTGAGTGCACTCTGATTGAGGAACTGGATGCCAGCGATGAAGACTGTGAGTAGCCCACTGCCATTTTTACTTGTTTCTAATATTCTGTTCAATTCAATTCATTTTATTGCACATGGCAACTTACGATGGACTATAAGAGCCAGGCTAGAGATTTATTTATTTTGAGAATAAAGTCATAACATTACTAGAATAAGTCATAACATTACTAGAATAAAGTCATCATACAACAACCCGTTTCAGAAAGAAAGCTTCGAGCTCTGACCAGCAGATGACGGTCGATCAGCTCCACCAATCAGCAACCTGAGTCCACTTTGACCTTCTGCCCAATTTGATGCTACTGCTAAAAGATTTCCTTATTTATCAAACCAGAGCCAAAGTTTAACTTCACATAATGCTCCACATTCCTCATTTTAGGGAAGAAAATGCTTCTTGTAGGAGTTGTCATAAAATACAACTTTTTTTCGTAATTTTATGACTATTCTCATAATTTTACCACTTTATTATTTTAATTTTACTACTTTATCCTTGTAATTTTATGACTTTATTATCACAAGGTTATTACTTTAATCTCGTAATTTTACCACTTTATTCTCCTAATGTTACGACTTCATTCTCATAATTTTACGACTTTATTCTCATAATTTTACAACTTTATTCTCATAATGTTACGAATTTAGTGTCATAAGGTTATGACCTTATTCTCGTAATTTTACGACTTTATTCTCGTAATTTTACGACTTTATTATCACAAGGTTATTACATTATTCTCGTAATTTTACCACTTTATTCTCGTAATGTTACGACTTCATTCTCATAATTTTACAGCTTTATTCTCATAATGTTACGACTTTAGTCTCATAAGGTTATGACCTTATTCTCGTAATTTTACGACTTTATCCTCGTAATTTTACGACTTTATTATCACAAGGTTATTACTTTATTCTCGTAATTTTACCACTTTATTCTCGTAATGTTACGACTTTAGTCTCATAAGGTTATGAACTTATTCTCGTAATGTTACGACTTCATTCTCATAATTTAAGACTTTATTATCACAAGGTTGTTACTTTATTCTCGTAATTTTACCACTTTATTCTCGTAATTTTACGACTTCATTCTCATAATTTTACAACTTTATTCTCATAATGTTACGACTTTGGTCTCATAAGGTTATGACCTTATTCTCATAATTTTACGACTTTATTCTTGTAATTTTACGACTCTATTGTTGTAATGTTACGACTTTATGCTCGTAATGTTACGACTTTATTCTCATAATTTTAAAACTTTATTCTCATAATGTTACGACTTTATTCTCATAAGGTTATGACTTTATTCTCATAATTTTACGACTTTATTCTAGTAATTTTACGACTTTATTCTCATAATTTTACAACTTTATTGTCATAATGTTACGGTTTTATTCTCATAAGGTTATGACTTTATTCTCGTAATGTTACAACTTTATTCTTGTAATTTTACGACTTAATTCTTGTAATGTTACGACCTTATTCTTGTAATGTTACGACTTTATTCTTGTAATGTTACGACTTTATTCTCGTACTTTTAGGACTTTATTCTAGTAATTTTATGACTTTATTCATATAATGTAGCTCAGTCTTGGTAAGAAATGATTAAGCAAGTGGGCTCTGATCTAGTTAGAGCACATCCAGTTAGTCACTGAAGAAGCTGAGACCATAGCTATCTCTAGGAGAGAAACAGGACTAATCACTGAAAAACAGGGCCAACTCTAGTTATGAGGTGTTAATGGGTCACACTGTTTCTGGTTCTGCTGGAGGTTCTGCTGGAGGTGTCTTTTTCCTCTCCACTGTCGCTACAAGCATGCTTAATGTGGGGGATTGCCTTTAAGTCAATGTTCTGATGCAACAAACAATTTTTCCTTAGACAGAAAACTTTGAATCAATTTGACTGTATTATCTGGTGAACTGTAAAGTGCCTTGAGTTGACGTGTGTTGTGAATTGGCGCTATAGAAATAAATTGAACTGAATGGCCGGAGCCCATCTGATATTTCCCTTAAGAACAGCTTCAGTTTTTTGCCAAGAGAACTTTGAAGGGACGATGTGTTACAAAAAGAAATAAAAAACCTTTTAATCTGGGAAGTAAATTTGTACTGTTGGGATTGTTTTGACATGTTTCAGTAAATGCAGCAAATGAAACAGAATGAACTTTTCCTGTTGGATTTTCAGACAACGCCGCTGGTCAAGGCTTCAGTCACCTGGAGTTTAAAATTGTGGTGGAGCCTCCTGATGGTCAGAGCTTCTCTGTGGTTCTTCTGGCTCCTTCCCGTCAGGAGAAAGCTGCATGGACCAGCGACATCAGCCAGGTACCCGAGGGACTATTTGTTACCGTGACAACCTTTAGCCAGCCTTCTGTAAGAAATTCTCATCCTTGGCTTTGTTGTATATATTTTTTTTCTCTTCAGTGCATTGATAACATTCGCTGTAACGGCCTGATGACCAGCGTGTTTGAGGAAAACTCTAAAGTTTCTGTGCCGCACATGATCAAGTAAGAAAATGATTTCATTGTAAACATCCTAAAGGAGAAGGCTACAGGTTTAACACCTTCCAGCCATCTACTAGTCTATACTCTCATTCCAACCTTTGTTTGTATTGTTTGCCAGTTGCTTACCAGGTCAACCGATTAGGTAACATTGAAACTACCTTACCAGAAGGAAAATCTGCAACCTCTGTCTGCCCTCGAAACCGTCTGTTCTTCATAGGTGCATGTTCACATTATGTGATTATACCGAAAAGGACCGAAAAAAAACCCTTTGACCATGATAAAATAAAGTTATATACAACTAGTGTCAGTCTTTGTAGTGTTTATATCAGGCTTCCCCAAAGTCGGTCCTGAAAGGGTCGCTGTCCTGCAGGTTTTAGAGGTTTCCCTGCTCCAGCACAGCTGATTCACAGTGATAGTTGATTAACAGGCTTTTGCTGAACTGCAATCATCGGAATCAGCTGTGCTAAAGCAGAGAAACCTCTAAAACCTGCAGGATAGCGGCCCTCAAGAACCGACTTTGGGGATGCCTAGTTGATATAGTCCTTTTAGAGCCTAAATAGAATTTTAGCACTAGCCGCATTGAGCAGATATAAACAGACTTGGCGCCATCTTCTGGCAGAACTACAGAACTATCAGAAAGCCACATGAAAAACAATTTAGGCCAGAGGTCACGGATTAGCAGGGAAAAATAACTTTGCTTATATTTGATAAACATGGTGCTGGACTGGTGAGACAAAAGAGCGAAACAAAAAGCACACTTACTACGCCCTGGTTGCCTTCCATGTTGCTCTCCATTGTTTACTTTCCTGATTTCTGACATCATCAACTCTAACCCAGCATGATAGCATCATCAGACAAGTAGCATAGGGGGGACAGAGGCCACGCAGCTCATCAGCTGAGTTCACCGAACCCTGCTTCTTTTGCTAATGTGAAGGTAGCCAAATGCAGATTGTTAAAAGGTCGACCCATGTTTGAAAATCCTTGATAACCCGCTAATTTCGGTGGGAAAGAGGCATTACAAATGCAAACATGGAAACGGTATCAAGATTAGAACTAATCAATCTATTTATAAAATTTTTTGTTTGTAGACTGTAGAGGCTAAGGTTAGCATTGCTATCCCAGGCATCAGTAAGGAGTTTACTCACACGTCTATTAATTCAGCAGCTCATCTGAACGCCTCGGCAGCTTTAGCTTCCTCTGCAGTTTAACTCTCAGACTGTTTCACTCTGATCCCTCCTGGAATTAAATATTTTTTTATCACACTGGGTTTTGCACTTTTCATCAATATTTGCTGGGAGATGCTAACAGGCTTAGCCACTGTAGGCTACTTTCTTGTTTACCCCCCTGAACACATACGCAGTATCGTACCTCCTTTGTTATTGTATGCATAGGACTTTATTTATTAACAAACTAAAGTAAATAAAAGCTTAAAACACAAGAGCAACAACTAATACACCAGAGGGTACTCTTTCAGAAAAAAAGTTATAGAACTGTCATAGAAATTGTCATATAACGTGACCATGCACCTTGAAGTCAGCACCAATGTTTGAAAGATTAACCAATGTTCATCCTTGTTTTACTTATATATGATCTGATGCTGCAATTCCATAACATGCACATACTTAGGATATTTCTCCTTCTCAAATAAGCTGAAATTAATCTTTTTGGATAGATCTAAGATTGTAAGATTGAGCCTTAATGAAACTGATGTTTTGCACTGCAAAAATGATCTTGGAATAAGTTAAAATTTCTTGAATATAGTGTATTTACCCTGAATTTGAGTAGGTAAATAAGATGATCTGCCTATGGAATGAGTATTTTTATTCTTAAAATAAGATAATTAGATAATATGCACATAAAATAGGAAAATGTAATTATTTTTTTTTATTTAAAATGTAAATAGTCTTGTTCCATTGGCAAAGACTCTCTCTTACCTCCTCAGTTCAAGACAAAATGCACATATTTTAAGAAGAAATTAGTTATTTAGATTAAAATTTTTTCCAGTGTGTCCAAAGTAAGGAAAAAGAAAACAAAGGCTATAATTGATGTCTTGTTTAACCAGCTACAGATCAAAGAAGAGAACAGCATCAGTTAATAAACCCACATCTCCAACACGTTAATGTGGGTAACTGTAAGGGAATAAAGGTTTCAGTGGAACTTTAAATGCGGATGGAAGTCTGGAATAAAGGTTTAGTTTTCTCCAGTTTTGTATAAAAAGGTGACAGAAAGAAAATATAAGTAGGGAAAGTCTATATATGTAGAAAAAATCACCATGTATTAACTTTTTACGCTTCTAGCTGTTATAATTCTATTCCTTCATCAAAGTAAAGCTCAATATTTCAACATTGATTCTTATGAGTTTATGAGTGCATATGATCTAAATATCTTATTTTAAGAGTAAAAATACTCATTCTATTGGTATTCTATTGGCGAAATTAATGGTAAATACTCTTAATTTAAGAAATTTTTACTTATTTCTAGATCGTTTTTCCAGTGAAAGTCCAGTGGATTGTTTTTATTTTTCTTCTTTTTGGAATTTATGTCTAACACGATGTTTTTCTTCCAAGGTCTGACGCCAGGCTGCATAAGGACGATGTCGATATTTGCTTCAGCAAGACTCTCAACTCCTGCAAAGTCCCTCAGATCAGATACGCCAGCGTGGAGCGGCTGCTGGAGCGCCTGACGGACCTGCGCTTCCTCTCCATCGACTTCCTTAACACCTTCCTCCACACCTACCGGATCTTCACCACGGCCGCCGTCGTCATCGACAAGCTGGCCGACATCTACAAGAAGCCCTTCACGTCCATCCCTGTGAGGTACGGCTCATGTCCGCAGTCGGTCCGCCCCATTGCTTCAGACTTTACCCCGATCATCCGTCCTAGTGTTTCTACCCTCTTCACGCCCAACTGTTCATTCTTCATTCACTCCATCTTCTCTTGTCTCCATCTTCACCTCCCCCTATCATCTTCCTCTCATTTCTATCAGGATCGAGCAGCATTCATACGACCGTCTGTCCATCATGTCCCTCTGTCCTGACTACAGTCTCAAGATCACTCAGCTGGCTTTGGACCAGTCTAAGTACATACCATCAGTCAGACCTGAGGGGGATCTGTTAATCCTCATCACAGCTTTAGACTAACTGAGATAATTAATTTTTTCAGGTCTCTGGAGCTCTTCTTCGCCACCAATCAGGGCGCCTGGGGAACGGACCCTTTGAACGGCAAATCCCCAAGACTGTGTCGCAAGTTCTCCTCTCCTCCTCCCATATCCATCCCCTCCCGCACCTCCTCTCCGGTGCACTGCCGCAAGCTGTCCCTCAGCTCCCCCGTCAGCGTGAAAGTCGGAGCCTTGGACCTGTCCACGACGCCCTCCTCGTCCGCAGCCAACTCTCCCACTTCCAGCCACTGTCCCTCCATCTCCTCTCCTCCCCCTGGATCCTCCAGGTTGCCTTTTGGCTTCTCCTCTCCTCCACCCACCGCCACGCGCTCTCCCAGCCTCCCACAGGCCTCTGGGGTGTCCTCGCCGCCTCCCATCTCCACCAAAGCCCCTCTGGATCTCAGCCGGGGTCCCAGCTCCCCAGAGCTGAGCCCGGCTGCGGCGGAGGACGTCAGCGGAGAGCTGCCTCGCCTCGACGCCTTCTGTGGGAAGCTGAGGCGCAGCATCCGCAGGGGTAAGCAGCTACAGATCAGAGAAGGATTGTTCTTAGCTGAAAACAGCATCAGTTAATAAACCCACACCTCCAACACCTCCATGTGGGTAACTGTTAGGGAATAAAGGTTTCAGTAGAACTTTTCACTGCAAAAATGATCTAGAAATAAGTAAAAATGGCTTAAATTGAGTTAATTTAGGCTTAATTGAGTAGGTAAATAAGATCGTTTCAATGGAATTAGTATTTTTACTCTTAGAATAAGATAATTAGATAATATCCAATTGAAATAAGACAAGGCAATTGTTTTTCTTATTTTAAATGTAAATTGTCTCCTTTCATTGGCTCACTTACTTCTTGAATTCAGGAAAAAAAACACTTATTTTAAGGGGAAAAAATGACTTATTTGGATTTACATTTTTTTGCAGTGTAGATGTTGATGGGAGATGGGTCTGGAATAAATGTTTAGTTTTGTCCAGTTCTGTTCAGATTTTGTAAATTAAGTGTATTTAGCCTTGATTTCAGTAGGTAAATAACATGATATGACAATGGAATGAGTATTTTTTACTCTTAAAATAATACAATTAGATAATATGCGTTTTGAATATAACTTGTCCTGTTCCATTGGCAAAGTCTCTCTCTATTTTAAGAAAAAAATGACTGATTTAGATATCGTGTTTTTTTTTTTTTTTT